CCCTTCCCCCCCCCAAAACAACACACGTCCCAAGCTGCCTCCTGGCATCAAAACAACAGTTTAAGCCAAGACACCACCCAGCGCAGTGAACGTCCAACCACCCTCCCACCCCGTGGCCAGGCCTATCCGTTATCATCTGCCCCCCCCACCCCGTGGCAGAGTTATAAATACAGCAACAATAGAGCCCTTAACTGGATTATAATTAGACAATGATAACAGGACAATGGAAACAATGACCTACTAACAAAGCCTGTCCGTCCTCTCGCCTAGGGACTTGCACGCAGCGAGCGCTGCGATGGCTGAGCTACCGGGACCCGTGACAGAAAAGCTGCAGATTTCTCCTAAATTGGAGCATCCGCTGACAGCTCACGCTCCCGCCAACAGGTATTACGCCGCTCTGGTCACAGGAGACTTCCAAAGCCTCAAGGTCCTCACCGACAGGTACTACGAAGACGTCAACCTGGTCTTTGAGATCAGTCAAGACGAGCTGGAGTGGCGGGGAAGAAGCCGAGCATCTTACGGACTATCAGGTACTTTTGCTTCCAAAGGCCAGCGCAGAACAAGAGCGGGGCTTTACTACCCCAGACGGGGAGCTCCACAGCGCGTTTTAAGTGCCTAACACTGCTTTTAAACAGCCCGTTCCCCAGACAGCTGGTTTCTGGTTAGCGCAGCTAGGAAGGTCTGGGACTTTCCTCTCTTACTGCCTTCCCCTTCGCACGCACTCACCCACCGGTGGGGGAGAAGAGCCTAAAAACAGTGCAGGAGGGCAGATCATTTTTCCAGGTTGGGCTGGGACATCGCGATGGCGCGGACATGCTTGCAGCCTACGTTTCTTGGGCAGGGGCTCAGAAAAGATCAAACCGATATCATTTGGCAGGGGAAAGATGCTGCAGAGATGCTGGTACGTGGTTGATCCCCATCCTAGGTGTTCCTCACCGTAGCAGGGGGAACCGCAGGCCGCTGACCCACAGCTCTCCTGTCCGCAGGCTTGTGGTCACTGGAGTACAAGCGGGAGCTGAGCACGCCGCTGTGCATCGCCGCCGGCCGGGGTCACGCCGCCTGCG